TTGTTATAACCTTTTCGATATATAGTTTAAGTTAATTTATTGTAATACTTTACTTTCGGTGATAACTGTAAGATTCAGATTTCATCAATGTATAATTTATGTTTTTTGATGGCGAGAAGCCATATTTGATTAATACATTAATTAATGTTGTCTAATTACTATTGTATTTTCGATTAGTAAATTTGATCATTCTATGTGTAATCATTTTTCCTTAAAATATTTTGTTAAAAGTTTATTTATCGTCTGTATTCTGACAGGCAAGAACTGTATTTGTTCAAAATATTGATTTGATTTATGTTCTTCTGTTTTTTCGGTTAAAATTGTTTTCAAACTACGTGTAATCAAACTGTCTTCAATTGTACATACTGTAAATATTGCAATTACTGTCTGTATCTGATGGCCAGGAGCCATATCTGTATGTTTCATTTGATTCTTAATAAAACAGGCTGGGCGCCCATGAAACTTTCCCTTTTCATCCCCTTTCCTATCTCGCTTTACTCTTTCCCCTTCGCCTCTTCCCTTAACTACCTTTCCTCTACTCTTCTTCACACTCGGGCAATACCAATGAGTAGTCCCGAGTTTTCATCCCCTTTATGAAAATGATATTATATATATATATTATATAATTAGAAACAAGATTATTGATGTGTGAAAAGCATAAATGATTATAATGATTTTGTCAATATCTGTAACTTTCAAATAAAACATGTTTGATTAGTTTTTAAACTTACATCTTGAACTTTATTCTTTTCTAATCTTGTGAAATTTGTTAATAATCATGCTATCACAGAGTATGAAAAATACATATATTGTAGAATAACACTATATGATTTTTTATATGAATTTTATAATAACTATTAAGATGTCAAAAAATGAAAGGAAGTGTGTTACAGTATATGAATACTCAACACTAATTGCTAATTATACAGGTGTTCCATAGACTTGTATGGAAGTAGTATGTAAATGTTTGGGTGTGTTTGTTTATAGAACTTTTATTGATCTTTGTTTATTCTTTTGCAGGTAAAGCATGGTATAAGGTGCAATAAATTCAAATTATTTTGATGGTAATCATCTCAGAATCAGCAATAAGTTGCCAAAGAGTTAAATGGGCTACACCCAGACTGCTTTATGATTGATGCTCAAGTGTAGAATAAATACAGCCTGTTAAACTCTGGCAACTCCTCATTGACTGTGTATCCCTATCAAAATAACTTGAATTTATTTCTCCTTACTCAGAGCCATGCTTTACCTGTAAAAGAATAAACAAAGATTAACATACAGGATGTCCCAAAATGATTACCTGAATTTCAGAATGTTATTGCTTTATATGATATCATTGATTTCAGTTTTCCTTGGCAAGTGTGTTTGTGCACTCTTGAAGTTTTGGTGGCTGTGGATTCCGGTTCCCAATTCTCCTGCTAGGTGTGCTATCCCATTGTCTCTAAGATCACCCACCTGTCATTACCTCATTCAGTTTTTTTTCCTTTGGGGATATGTTAAGGGCAGGGTTTATACAACATCTGTGCCAGATATGCTCACTTTGCATGAATGCATCATATGAGCAGTTGAAGTCACTCTCCAAATGTTGCAAAATGTATGGCAGGAGGTAGGATATTCATTGGACATTTTGTGTCACTGGAGGTGTCCATACTCAGTGCATAAAGTAATAACTGAAAAGTTTATCATTGTACATATTGATGAGTTACACAACCATAACTTCAAAACTTATTAATAATATTAAGGAATTTTTAAAAAATAAATGGTATTCACCCAGCCATAAACTTACTCAGATGCTATCCAACCATGGTGCTTTTCACTCTTACTTGAGTAGATTCAAATACCCTCACGACCCTAATTGTACTGTTTGTGGTACACCGGATGGCAATTTGCACTACATAATAGACTGTCCAATGATGGAATTGGAAAGATTTTCTCTCAAGATTATCCTGGAGGCACACGATGTGAACTGGCCTCCTCAAAATCTGGACTGCATTTTTGAGCATAAGGACTCATACTATGCCTTCATTCACCTAACTGACATGTACTTCAGAAGAACCACAGTCCCTTTCTACTGATGGACGTCTCTTCTTTATTTTGTAATCCAATCCTAAATTTGTACATATGTGTTTTCTTGTTCAGGTGCAGGTAGCACCTTTGCATGCCTCGAACTGTGGTATGCCTGTTGTATATTCCAATTGTTTATTTTATTTTATTCCTCATTACATTGTATTTTCAACCTTATTTCTGATCCCACCCGGTTATGTTTCACGGCACTGGGATGTACTATGTATATTTTTATTTTAATAAATAACTGAACTGAACTGAACTGTACATATTGATGTGCAAGTTCTGGCATCTGTAACTTTTTTCCTTAAAAGTTATAAGCAGTTGAAATAAGGGTATTCATTATAGAACATCCAGTAACTTCTATTATTCCAGACTAATGGACATGTCAGGGTGTATAATATAAAATGTTTATGATGACATGATTTGACAATTTTTTATAGTTCAGTGTAAGAAAAGTGCTATTTTTGTTATTGTAGAATATTTGTATTTAAAGAAGAAGGGATGCAATCATTTTCAAAATAGTGAACACAGATTACAGTGGGATCTGGTTAACTCAAATTGGGATAATTAAAAGTCATGTTAACTCTGAAAGTCATTTTCTTTCCCCAGTTATTCAGCATAGGGATATACATGTTAAATTAAACTGATTAACTCAAATGGAGTTTTGATACAGTATTCTCATAAACAACAGAATTTTAATTTAAATAAAATAATTAGTGTTCATCTATCGAATAAACTAATCAGAAACTTTCTATAAAGAGCTGGAAACATCTATGACTAAAAATAAACATTATGTCATGTGACAGACAACAGGTGGAGGTGGTGGTTTCCAGACAGTGTGTGTGACCTAGATACTGTAACTGCCATTCAAATCTGCTTTTTTTCCAAGTTTTGTTTTTGATTGCTAATGGATTTTTCTGACCACATAATAAATAAACAAATTTTTAATAATTTAAATTAATATTAAAAAATGATTAAAGTCTGATTTTATGTAGAAATTTTAACCTTGTGACAAATTTTTAAAAAATAACAGTCACAAAGAGTGGTATGTTTGTGATAAAAAACAAAAAAAAAACAATTCTAGGCATAAAATATTGCAATTAAAAAAATCCTTACAAAACACTTAGGGAGTGAATAGATCAACTATTTGGGAAAGCATTTCTCAGTAGCTTATTTAACCATTTAGTTCAACATTTTTGAGTTTCTGGACAACACCAAGAGGTTTACATTGATGCAATGATTCTACATAATAAGACTCACAGAAATATTGTGTATATATTTTATTATGGATCAATGTACAAAATTTTGATTTTTGTCTAACCTCTATAACTTGAAAGTTTTTAAGATAAACGACTTCCAACAACCTAACACTGCGTTGAATAATAACAATCCACGAAAACCTTTTTTTACGAGTGTTATGTCCGTCGAAATTCCACAAGTACTTTCGACCTCTACCGAGGTCTGCTTCAGGTGGTGACTGGTCATGTTTCGTCCCGACCGTAACGATGTTGCCAACGATGTAAATAAATAAATGTGCGCGTCGGGTTTCACCCCTCCGACTGTCCCTGTTCGAATTCCTCGAACAAATACTTCCACGCCTGTGTGAGCGTTTCCCCATCCTTGTAGTTGATGCCGTTGCCCCCCCCCTGATAGCTTTATGAATCTCCCAGGCCTCCAGGTGACGGATGTGGTCCGCACGGAATGCTTGTCTGATAAGTCTGGTGTTCTTAGACCAGACTTATAGTGCCAACTTGGTATAAGGTGCTGCATAGCAATGGATGGGTAATATGCAAGCAGTGTTGCCAAATCTGATGATTTGTAGTCAGAGTTGGTAATATCTCAAGCCAGTTGATGATTTTGTAACTCTTTTCTCAATCTGGCAATTTTTCTTTACTGTCATAAATTTATTCAATGTATGTTTAAATTTTTTCCTAAAAATGGCTGAAGTAGTTCTAGGCAAACTGGAAATTATAATTTCTAGGACCCAGATCTGAAAGATGCCTTTAAATTGGTTTATAAACTTTTATTTCTTTATGTTTGAATTTAAATGATTAGTGAACAAAGTGAAAATTTTCTCAATTAATGAGCTTTCCTTTATTACCAACATCTATAGTATCATATAGAAGTGAGTATCAGATTGGATCAGTAGAAAAATTATCAACATCAGATCATGTCCACAGAATTCAGTATTGTATCATCTCTAATAAAAATGATAGTTTATTTAATATAAATGAATATAGTGTTGAATTAATAGAATGTTCATTACATTAAATTGATGAAAATTCAGCCAAAATTTTCATCAATTTACGACGTTCAGTGCCGCTTTCTTAAAGGCCTAGAAGTTTGGCAATGGTGTTTGGGATGTCAAGCATGGTTCCACTGACTATCCAAACACCATTGTCAAAATTCTAGGCTTATAGGAAAGCGGTGCTGAACGTCCAACATACACGTTTTTGCGTTAAAAACGTCGGCCACAATCTCTCTATTAATTTAACAAATTGAACATCTATTATAATTGTATAAAATATTTTAACATCATATATTTAAATATACTTAATATTTAAATTTTATAACTATTTCTGTTTAGATTTTGAGACCAAGAGAAAAGAAATTAGGTTTAGGTACAGCATATATTCATGGAATGAAACATGCAAAGGGAAATTTTATCATAATAATGGATGCTGATTTGTCTCACCATGTAAGATAAGTCATTCTTTATAGTTATCATAATATTATTTAGTCATAAAGGTTTTAAAATCATTTTAAATGAAGATCTATATGTTAAAAATTTTGGTATAATATACAGTAAAACCTGTGTAAGCTGAAATGATACCAAATATTTTTTTTTTTGGTTTGGCAGATTTCTGTTTTGAACAGATTTTGTTATTTTTTCTTCTTTTGTTTTTTTTTTTTATCTTTAAACTACAAGATAAATTTTACACAGTTATATTTATTTTTATAGTAAAATCATTTTTGCTAACATAAAAAAGTCTTATTAGGTTGAATTCCAATTACTCCAAAGTGATTCCAATTAAAGATGGGCGTATTTGAATGGAAGAATTGAGAACTACTCATTTGCAAAACATTCTCATTGTTTCCAAGAACTTGTGTTCAGTATTGAAATAGTTCTCAGCTGTAATTCTTATGAACTCAGACAACAGGAAACAAAGTTACCAGTGGCCAAAGTGGTTCTGTTCCCTGAACACTGGGAGTTCGGTCATGGGTTTGCACCTTGCCTGGATGGGCTGGCCACTTGAAGTTTTCAGGTTTTCTCCACATCTGTAACACCTGAATAGGGACCAGTTATTCTTAAAAAGACCTTTCAGAAGGCGTTCCCCCTAGGCAGATTGCCCAAGTGTTACATTGCTGTAAATAACTAAACAAACAAAACAAACAGCAAACAAGTCAATTCAAGTATAAAAAACTAGTGTCTTGCTCTGCTGTCAGAAATTCTAATTGAATTACAGTAATGCAAAAATAGTTATTCTTTGATCTGACTTCTCAAGAAATTTTAATACTCTGATTTACTTCATCTTGATCAATTTTCTAATTATCAACATGTTAAATTAACTTATTTTTGAATAGTTGATACTAGTTAGTTACTAACCACATACAAGATAAGTTGGCAGCATTACATTACCTTATTCACATTATTTTCATGAATCACATTATATGTACTGTATCTCTTATCTCTAACCAGATTCATTTATATCTATTTACTAATTATAATAGCCTGATAATAATTTGACAATCCATTTGGAGACAAATTACATTCGTTGCTTGTTCTCTAGAACTCAATTCTCAGAAACTCATTTGATTCTTGAAAATTCTCAATTTTTAAAAGTATTTAATAATATTCCTGGTTAATTCTAACAAAGACTAATATTAACAAAAACATTGTGTTTGTATGTCACTTAAGCTTTGTTTCTCCTACAAGGTTCAAAATAATTCTCAGAATACAGTTTGTCATGCTCTATGCTGACTATTATACTTGGAGACTATTTTAATTTATATGTCTACAAATGGAATCATGATTTTCCTTTGTACCGAGGTTAAGTTACATTCTTCATACACAAAATTCTCTTCTGTTTCTGTGTTGGACAGGTTTTCAGCTTATAGTAAAATTTAACATAGAAAATTGCTATATTGCAGATAATTTTTTCCATTTTTAGGCAGGTTTCCATTTCATGAAGGACAGGTTTTACTGTATTTATGTTTTTATTTAATGACAAACAACTTCCCAGGCCTCCAGGTGACGGATGTGGTCCGCACGGAACACGTGTCTGATAACTTTGGTGTTCCGGAAGTCCGCCCTTATTTCCGGGTCGGTGACATAGGTGGATAAGGCAGTGGTGTGTCTTTTATGCTTAATATCAGCTTGGTGTTCGCGTATACGTTTCTGTGTTGATCGGATGGTGGAGCCGATGTAAACTAAGTCTCTATTGAACCTGTCGTCCCGTATGGGAACGGAGTAAACACCTGGGGCCCTGGTGAGATCGATTGCGTCCTTCGCGTTGCGCAGCAAGTCGTAAAGCGTGCCGGTTCTTAAGTACGCGATTTTGGTGCGGCTGTTGCTAGCGATCTCCCTATATAGGGGGTCTAAATGCCGGTTGAAGCGGACGACCGCNTCATGCAGAATATCTGATTTTTAGGAACAGATTACTGACATTAAGTGAGGCTAACTGTACAATCTATATATATAAAAATGAATGTATGTCTGTGTGTCTGTCTGTCCTTCATGCATTACTACACCGTTTATCCGATTGCCGTGAAACTATGAGAAGTACTGATAAATTGCTTTATATTTTAGATGTATATATATATAAATGAATGTATGTCTTTCTGTCTGTCTGTCCGTCTGTCCTTCATGCATTACTACACCATTTATCTGATTGCCATGAAACTTTGGGAAGTTTTTTAATACACTCCCGCGAAGGTTTCTGGCATATTACATTTATCCTATGATAGATGGTGTGTGTGTATACGAGCATTTCATTGTGAGCATTTCAGCACGGTTAGGAGTTGAAACTTGAAATTTGGTATACAGTTAAGCTGGATGCACACATGTGGCGTGGCAAGGAAAAGCATGTCACAAACGCATCTTCGCCGCGCGGCGGCAATCCGCTTACATTTCGGCGCATGCGTTCAGTATTCAAGATGGCTAATGATACCGATATTGTCACTATCCACATGTTTACAAATTTTGTTTTGTACAGCTTGTTTTATTTAGTTAGACGATTTTGTCGAAGATTTTGGGTTAGAGATATTTTCTTGGATTGATAAAGAACTGGTATACAAAATATGCTTATTCCTTGATAAAGAATACTATTTCGAGTATGATTCGGTTTTGTTCTTTGAATTAAATTATATATGATTATTTGTGTACAATTTGTGTTAAATTTATTATCCTTTCCTCTTTATTCTGATATTAGTTATCTCGGTTAACTGTGTCAAACTTTCCGCCATTAAAACACCATGTGATTGTATTTTCTCACGTGACTACCAGACAAACTGTTATTGGCTGATAGAAATGCGTCTTGGCGGCAGTTGCCGCAAAAGAGAAAATTCAACCAACTTTTGCGGCACGAGAAAAGCAGCACAAAATCAACTTCTGCGGCAAGAAAAGGTGACATCATCCTGCTGCTTTTCCTTGCTGTGCTGCATGTGTGCATCCGGCTTTAGGGTACGTCACAAGAACTAACCAGGGATTTTTTTGAAATCCCCCTCTGGGGAAAGTGACAAGATTAAGGCTTCAACAATGGAAGTGTTAAGAGAAAGCAACATGCAAGATTTACAGGCGCAGATGCGGTTTTTTGCATTAAATCAAACATAATTTTAGACCCATCTAAAAATTTTCTAATTAGTCTGGAAACAGGGGAACCTAATTCTTGCATTCGCTATCGTAACTTTTTGCCCAAGCAACACCGGGCTTATATGCTAGTAAATATATAACTTAAAGTTTTTTAAATTCATATTTTTATTATCTTTTTACGTAAAAAGTTTTATAACTTTAATTTGTGGAGATTAATGAAGAACAGTTTCATTTGTGGTCTTTTTGACAGAATACTGATATCACCTGAGTTGACTCCTCAGGAATGTTTAGTTTTCATATATGTAGAACAAATTTAGGAAGTGTCATATGGGTTTGAGATAATAAATGTTTCTTTCATTTTAAATTTTTCAAGAGATGTTATTTTAATTTTGATTATCATTTCATGTACAAGATTTATTATGTGATGAATACATAACAAATTTTTGCAACAAGAAACATCATTTTGTAGTAACTATTGGGATGTTCAGAAAGTAATTTCGTTTTTTTCCGTGGAAAAAACACACTATTTTTATAATAAATAAATATTTTATTGAATTATATATCGACCATTTTGGTCAAATAACTGTTGTCATTGTTTCTGGTAGTAGCATGATTTCACATTCATAAAAGTTTTGATCGTTGCTTACAAAAAACTGATCCAAGTGATTTTTGACATTGTCATTTCAAGTAAATGTCTTACAGTTAAAAAAAATTTGTATAGACTGGTACAAGTAATAATCTGAGTGTGCTCGANTAATAAATAAATATTTTATTGAATTATTTATCAACCATTTTGGTCAAATACCTGTTGTCATGATTTCACATTCATAAAAGTTTTGATCATTGCTTACAAAAAACTGATCCAAGTGACTTTTGACATTGTCATTTCAAGTAAATGTCTTACAGTTAAAAAAATTTGTATAGACAGGAACAAGTAATAATCTGAGTGTGCTCGATCTGGTGAATATGGTTGGTGTGATAGCATGTCCCATCTAAGTTATAACAGTTTCTGACGAGTTACCAAACTTTGTGAAATTTGACATTATCGTGGTAAAATACTACACCTGTTTTGTTGTCATCAGGCTAAGTTTTTCGAATTGTGTTCGAAAAACTTAGCCTGATGATGGCCAATAGAGTTGGCTGAAAACGTTAGCTTTTCATTAAAAGTTTTTCTCAGCAAATTAAGGTGTTTTTGATTTTAGCATTCTTACCTTTTCTGTAATAAAAGAGCAAAATATGTCGAAAATGCTGCTTTTGATCTTCCATATTTGATGGAACACAAAAAATAAACAATTGCACAAAATCAAACAAAATTTTTTACAAATAAGCCTTAAAATGCTAGCTGTCAAAATATATAATGATAATATGGTTTAGAATGAAAATGGTGGGAAAAGTACGACTAATATGTCTAGTGGTAAAAAAAATGAAATTACTTTCCAAACAACCTAATATAATAGAGAGAGAATGTTTCAAGTTACAGCAAATCTTCTAGTGATTTTTTTATGTTGTAGGATTTTGAATTAAAGTTGTATAGTAGTATGGAGGGCAAAGTTTTTGATTAGAGTTCAGCTGTTTCTTGGAAAAATCCTCCTTTGATTTGTCAATTCAGTCTTTGTGATTAAACCATTTTAGCATTTGTATGTGTCAAAACCGTATCTTCTTTTTATTGTTTGGTTCAATGTCATGACTGGGTGAATTCATAGACACTTGGCTTATTATATATAGATAGGGAATATATCAATATTTCAAGTCATTTGGGACCTAATGGAGACCCAAACTTTGTTGTGACATTTTTAATATCTTAATTTTGAATTCTTACATTTACTAGTCTGTTGAGTTTTTTTGTTCTAATTAAGTAATTAATTTGTTTTCTATAGATATATTTAGTGATTTAAAATTGATTTATTCATTAGTTTTGGAATCCTCGTGTTTTTTTATATCATGGGTAACAAGAAAATTTATTAATTTTTTCGTCCGATGGTTCTTTTAATCTAAATATATAAAATTGCTTGTCCTGACTGACTGACTGACTGAATGACTCACTGATTCATCATTGCCCAGAGCAAACCGCTTAACCTAAAAAGGTGAAATTTGGTAGACAGTTAGAATATGTCATGGAAATGCACACTAAGAAGGGATTTTTCGAAATTCCTCCGCGGGGGGGAGAGGGAGAGGATTAAGGCTTAACCAGAAGAACGGCTTCTATTGTGCTATTTTAGATGTGATTGTTTGTTTTTATCTGCATTTTAGTAGGGTATGCCATGCATTTTAGTAGGGTATGCCACACTAAGAAGGGATTTTTTGAAATTCCCTTCGGGGGAGAAGGAGAGGATTTAGTCTTCATCGAGTACTTAGGTGTATTAAATTAATAACATTTCAGACATTGTTATAAATATTTTATCTGTTTCGATTTTAAAAATGTTTGAAGCATTTTAAATTTGAATTTGTTATTGCATATTGGTTTGATTATAAAACGATTGTAAACATTTCAGAAAACTGATCAAATTGAAAATAGTTTGTTTGATTCTTGGCAATTCTCATCATTCTCAGTGGTAGGTGTTATATAACAATTACTATGGTTGTTGAAATACTGAATATAAATGGGGTTTGCTTGCAAAATTTTCGCNAAAACGATTGTAAACATTTCAGAAAACTGATCAAATTGAAAATAGTTTGTTTGATTCTTGGCAATTCTCATCATTCTCAGTGGTAGGTGTTATATAACAATTACTATGGTTGTTGAAATACTGAATATAAATGGGGTTTGCTTGCAAAATTTTCGCAGGCAAAGTCGCAGATAACAGCTAGTTTAATTAATATTTTGAGACAAAGTTTGCCCAAACAGAGACCACCATTTATTAGGTCTTGTGTTTCAGACAATACAATCTTGGCAACTGACCTTCCTTTTTAGGCTACTAGCTGCCAAAATGCTAAAAAGTACTTTTAAAAAACACAAAAATTTCCAATTAAAAAATATAAAATTTTTCTAGAATAGGAACTGGTGATATGAGAAAATTTATGTTAGTTTTCTTATAAGTAAATAATTACAAATTTGTTAAACTAAACTAAAATGGTGTTTTTGTTGTTTCCAATGAGAATTTTAATATCAATCAAATATTATTAAACATTAATTATTATTATAGAGGAAAACTAATAATTTGAAAAATCTAAAAATTTTTAATTTTTTAAAGAATTTAAAGTACAACGATATTACCTTTAGAGGACAAATTCAATTTTTTAATTTGCACAAATAAACAATTTATTTCTAAAATTTCTTTATAATTTAAAAGAATTAAATATTATGAAATGTAATAAGGACTATTAAATATTATAAAATATATAATAATACAATTCAGTTGATGTTACAAAATGATTCATCAGATTGCTTACTTCTTTTATTAAAGTTAATTTAATAATTAATTATAAAGCAGTTTGGCTAGAGGAAGAAGCTATCATCTCATAAATATAATTAGAACTAAATTAATTTTTAATATATATTTTCAATATTTTGGAAGAAAAGATTGGTTCAAAGCAGAACTCAAAACCTGCAGCTCCTGCTTATTGTGTAAATGAATTTCCAATTACATTCTCCGGACCTAAATATTAATAAAAATATAAGAAAAATTTAAAACAAAAGACACTTTTCCTTCCTCACTAATGTATGCATTTCATTAATTTTTGGGCCAAGCGGTCTTTGTTTGCTGAACACTGGGAGTTTGGTCGTGGGTTTGCACCTTGTTCAGATGGGCTGGCCACATGGAGTTTTCTGGGTTTTCTCCATATCTGTAACGCCTAAATAGGTGCCAGCTTCCCTTAAAAAGACCTCCTAGAAGGCATCTCCCCTAGGCAGATCACCCAAATGTTGTATTGCTATAACTAAACAAACAAACAAAACTTTCCCTTAAAATAAATTTTTTTTTCTTTTTTTTTTTTTATGTATTTCTTTCATTAGACATGATAAAATTTTGTTTTATAATATAATACTAATTACTATTATTTTTCAAAATATATAGTCTCTCTATTAGATACATTGGCATTTCTTTTAATCTTTTTTAAAATATTAGTTTGATTTCATTTATCTGCTATACTTCTGTTTAATGCTACCTCTATCAATGCTGTTGTATTTCTAAGAGATCTTATATTTACTTTAAATATAAAACATCTTTTTGATAAACATGAAACAGAACACTTTTTTTTTTTTTAATTTTAATATTGTGGATAACCTTTGTTATTCTATAAGTTTATTATTTTTAAATAGTTTTATTTTTGTATTTGCATTATATTAATCTGTTGCTTTAATACTTTTCTTGTAATTCTGGTTGTTTGTTTTTCACAACTGATTTAATTTTTAGGTTTTGGTAGATTGAATCACATAAGATTTTTTTGTAGTCTTTATTAGGAACCTTTGCTTTTTAGTTAAATTCTTTATAAAATTTAGTTTTTTTCAAGTCTATACATTTACAGTAAATAAAAGCCTTACATTGAAGACAACTTGTACACATCAAGTTTTGAAAAATTGGAAGAATATATAAAATGAAATTGAGTTTAGTATAAAAATAGCAAAGTATTTAAAAATGAGAAAATTATAGCTCCAGACTCATTGTTTTAGTTTAAAACTTGAGCACTAAACATTTTATATATAATTNCTTTCATTAGACATGATAAAATTTTGTTTTATAATATAATACTAATTACTATTATTTTTCAAAATATATAGTCTCTCTATTAGATACATTGGCATTTCTTTTAATCTTTTTTAAAATATTAGTTTGATTTCATTTATCTGCTATACTTCTGTTTAATGCTACCTCTATCAATGCTGTTGTATTTCTAAGAGATCTTATATTTACTTTAAATATAAAACATCTTTTTGATAAACATGAAACAGAACACTTTTTTTTTTTTTAATTTTAATATTGTGGATAACCTTTGTTATTCTATAAGTTTATTATTTTTAAATAGTTTTATTTTTGTATTTGCATTATATTAATCTGTTGCTTTAATACTTTTCTTGTAATTCTGGTTGTTTGTTTTTCACAACTGATTTAATTTTTAGGTTTTGGTAGATTGAATCACATAAGATTTTTTTGTAGTCTTTATTAGGAACCTTTGCTTTTTAGTTAAATTCTTTATAAAATTTAGTTTTTTTCAAGTCTATACATTTACAGTAAATAAAAGCCTTACATTGAAGACAACTTGTACACATCAAGTTTTGAAAAATTGGAAGAATATATAAAATGAAATTGAGTTTAGTATAAAAATAGCAAAGTATTTAAAAATGAGAAAATTATAGCTCCAGACTCATTGTTTTAGTTTAAAACTTGAGCACTAAACATTTTATATATAATTTTAGATCATTCAAAATTTTTATCATTTTTAACATTCATAATTTTATTTAAAGATTATTTTTTCAATTGTCAACAATCTTTCAATATATCACCAAAATATGTTGCATATTATGACTTTTTTTTTCCTTCTATATATAATTATAGAAAATATTTATGCTGTGAACTTATGAAATCTTTCTCTAGTAAAGTTTTTTTTTTTTTTTTAAATAAAGAAAATGATTTTATACAAGTGATTTGGAAATAGAAACAGCTCTAAAATTTATAATTCATAAGCAAAAAATTCAATTTGAACAGTTTTGTTTCTTGTAAGATACTTATATATTATACTAATTATGAAAGATTCAAAAAAGTTTTGGTAGTAATAGTTTAATAATTTTAGTTTTGTTGCTAAATTGTAATTTTATCCAGTCCTAGAGAGAGTAAATTTTCAAAGTTAAATATTATATTAATATTAAATGTAGTTCAGTTTTATTAATTTTTTTAATTTTATAAGAAATACTAAAAATATATAAATTTTTTTATTCTTCAGAAAACAACAAAAAAATAATTATGATATAATTTCTGGTACTCGTTACATTGGAAGTGGAGGAGTTTATGGCTGGGATTTGAAAAGAAAAATAATAAGGTATTTTCACAAAATTATATAAATTTATAATCTTAATTTATACTTGTTAACTTTTTAATTACAATTTATGATTAAATTAAACTTATGATGAAAGTATTGCTGCTGTTTAACAAATTATGTATTTTTTACATTGAATGATATTATAAATAATTGTTTATTTTATGTGACAGACTTAGTCAGTTCTCTGTAGACAAATTGCTCTTTTATACATATTATAATACCTGCTAAATTTCTGTTTTTATGCTAAATCTTCAAAACAAAAATATTTGGTTATTGTTCAATAATAGTTTCTGCCAGTTTTGGCTTTATAACAGCAAAATTATTGCTAAAAATTAATTTTTATTGTTTATTGTTGGCTTAATCTGTGGTTTTAATGTTTTAAATAATGTTTTATGCATTGTAACTTATTCACTGTAAAAAAAGAAAAGTTTCTTGTCTTAATAAGAGCTTTTATGATTTTTCTTTTTAGTTCGTCAAGAACTTCCTGTATAATATAGAATCCTATTGCTTGATATTTATACATATTTTTAGGATTGCATTATGTCTGATAGTCAGAAACTGCCTATATTTGAATATATAAAGTCATTCTTTCAACAAACTTTATGTAAATTTAAATTTATGATGACAAAAAGAAGAGAGATAAGGTAAATAGATAGAAGTAATGAATAAAGGAGACTTTAAAGATGAGTATTGGACAGAGAGAGAAGAAAAAAATTTTTTCAAAGAATAGCTTTTGATAAGTAGTTTATGTAAAAAAAATCTAAAAACAAACTAAGATTTCAAGAATGATTTCTGAAAAAATTTATTTTTAAGTTGGAAATGAAGTTCCTTATAAAACTGTAGCAATTCTCGAGAGCCAGAAGTTTGCCATAACATCCAACATTTAAATTTTTATTGAATACATAACATTAAATTCCAGATATATATATATATTTAACAAGCTAAAAAATGAAATGATAGGCTGACAGCCTCTTATTCTTTTTGATCTATGACAATTTAAATTGGTATTAATATATAATCATTAAGATACAGTAAGATCCACTTAATGTGGGGATGTGTTCCTAGACGATAAAGCACTAAATGAAACAGTGTTAAAGGAGGCCATTTTAACATAAAGTAAATAGGGATAGGGGAACATGCGATCGAAAAAACAAATTTTTTACTTTAATTTTAAGTTATTTTTATATTAATTTGTATAATAATATATGTTAAATAACACATAAACATAGGCACACAGAAATGTATAATAATATATTAGTAGTTCATTTTTTGTGACGAAGGTACTGACTTTTCTGAAATTCTTGTTCTTTGCAATAAAGTTGTGAAGTTTCATTTGTCGCTTTTTCTTTCTTTAAGCAAATGTTGGTAGCGGAAGATTGCGTCCAAAATGCCTCATTTTGCTTTTGCACTCCTTTCAAAATCTGGATCATTCACTACAATTTGATCAACGATTTTGGATATTGTTACCAAACTTTTACTAAGGAAATCTGTAGAGAAATTTTTTGGGTTCTTCGTTTTCAGAATCACTATTTTCCAGTTCTACATGGATTCCTTGTTCTGCCAGTTCTGGAAGGTTGTCGTTGATAAGACTCTCACCAGAAACGTGCGGTAACTCCTCAATATCCTGTTCGTCTACATCTAGTCCTGCTGTATCGATTAGGTTTAAGTTGTGTTTGATCAACCTAACGATACAGTGATAGGCTCTTCTTGTTGAGAATTCTTGGATACGTTCAGCCATAACTTCTTCCACACTTCATTTGTGCATTTATCAGTTAATTCTTCAAGTGAAGCAGATATTGCCTATGGCATCCATGATGTTATATTTTTTCCAAAATTGCACCAAACAAACATAGATTTACATTTTTTTGCTACCTTTTTCTGATTGGTTTGTGTTCATATATAATCGTATTTTGTACGAATCAATAAAATACTACGATAATTTAAATTAGCGTAAATTTTGAGCATGTTTTTAGGCATCAAGCAGATGGCATTATATCGAATCAGCATTAAGTGGGGTCTTACTGTATTTGTTAATTTGATCCATTATTATCACTATCGGATCAAAGTAGAAAATCAGTTATAAAATTTTTTGTTAAAGAATTTGAGTATTAAGAGATTTCAGTTTATTAACATATATGTTACATTTTACAAATTTTTGATGTTTTTTAAATTTATTAAAATTTTTTTTTCTTTTAAAATATTTTTGATTTTAGTCGAGGAGCAAATTATTTAACACAGATTCTGTTAAGGCCTGGTTCTTCAGATTTAACTGGTAGTTTCAGGTAAAGTAATTTTTATTATATATTTTATTAAATATTCTGTTTCAAATATGTGGTATAAAATAATACATTTTTTTATAATGCTTAACATCTTTAGTCTTTTTACATTTATTATCTTTTTGTGTTATAAAAAAGATAAATATTGATATTTTAACTTTAGTTTCTCTATTTAATTTATTTGTTAATACGTGCTTCACCTGTTTGAAGTAGTAACATTATTATTTAATGTTAATATTTTTGTTTTATATTTGTATATATAAATCTACAAAACACAAAGCAATATTAAAAGTTGAACTGATATATAGAGTGTGTCACAATTTATAATATTTAGAATATACAGGTCATTTCATGTATCTTGGTCAGACAATTTAAACTTCATAGTACTCAGAGTACTATGAAGTTTAAAAAAAATTAATACTGGTGACCTCTGTTAATATTTTGAAAAATATTGAAGAAATTTTAATTACAGTCAACTCCCCTATAACACTGTTGATAATTCCGTTTTATATGAATTCTATGTTATATGAGTCACTTAGATTTTACAAATACGTGAGCCATTCACAGCCCGGCACACGTATTTGTAAAACCTAAGTGACTCGTACAACGTGGAATTCATATAAAACGGAATTATCAACAGTGTTATATGGGGGTCGACTATGTAGTTGTCATAAATCTTAATTTTATAAAAGTGCTGGTAAATTTTGCAAAATAACTTTTATACGTAAATTTTACTATAGAAAAATCTTTATGCAATTTAATTTAAAAATTGTATCACGTACAAAATAAAATATTTTTGTTATATTTTTATATTTGAAAATCAAATTGTTTTTTATTAATAAACAGTAAGAAATATAAGTAACATAATTACTTAGTTCTGGGATATGTAATTATAAATATTTTGAATACATGAAACACAATGAAACTATTAAAAAGCTTATGAAAGAAAATTCTGTCAAAATATCTTGCATATGCATTTACAGTAGTTCTGGGAAACAGAATCTTAAATTTAATGTAGAATTAAAGTCAGAGTACGGCAAATTGGCTGATATATTAAGTAGGAAATAAACTTTTGATAATAAGATGATTTTAATATAAAGACATGATGATATTAAATTTTGGTGATTAAAGATCAAGGGAATGGGGAGATAAAGGAGGTCATGATGTGTATCTCCAGTAGAGTTGGATTTTACTCATTATTAGTATTTACAGTTTTTTTATAAAACTCATCTCTACTCTCAAAATTAAGCTGTTTGCTGTTTTACAATAGTTAAAAATATAAATAGTTTTTTAATAATAAAATATGATAACAGATGGCGTTACCAAATGTTGTCAGGGAAAGTTGTTTAGATGAGATTATCAGGACCAAAATTGGCTGCAATTCAAACTTTAGTCTTAATTCATTCCATTAACCTCTCAAAGTGTTCAGCTTTGAAGTGGCAAAGTCTGGCCTTCATCTTGTCCTCCAATTCCTTTGAGGATCCAACTTCCCAATCATTTTCATAAACTTTTTGCTTTAGTTGGTACCAAAATCTCTCAATTAATCTCAGTTGAATACTTGGAACTTTGGCTTCACAAGAGATATATTGAATTGTATAATGGTCCAACTTAGCAATTGTATTGTGAGCATAATTTTCAGAGGCTTTGTATAATAAGAAGACATCCTTATTGAGGGTAGTACTGTATTTCTTTAGGAAGGGGAATGCATTCAGAAGCTAGTGCCTCTTCTGAGTGCATTCATTACCATACTTCTTTAGTGGTGGAGATTTGTAATAATGGATATTGAAAGTCTGTGAACATTCTTTTAAACTGATTGCTAGTCAAACCAGAAGCTTCAGTGGAAACTTGGAGTGTTATTTGAATTTGACTTCAGAATCTACATATAGCTCTTTGGTAAAATAGTGATTGTTACCAGCACATTCACTTCCATCAAAAGTGAAATAGGACTTTTCGTCCATAACCACATTAAGATTATTTGATGCCTTCAACATTCCATCATGCAGCTTCTGCAGATTTTTTGAGTACCAAGTTGCTTCTTCATGTATTTTGGAATGAACTTTTGCTTCTTGATAGTCATTTGATGTTCCTTCAGAATCTGGCAAACATGTCTATATAAAATTTTGAATTTTCCTCCCAATTTTCTAAGGATTTAATCCTTTCATTTTTATATAAGCAACAACTCCACAAACTCAAGTTTTGATTAAAGCTAGACAACTACCTGGACCTATGGCTAATCTTCACTTCCAGAATTATTATTAATAATTTAGATATAATTATCACCTAATAATTTGTCTGGCCTTTCATTTTTGAAATGAATCTTATTTACATAAAATTTTTCAATAAACAGACTAAACAACATTCTAGAAAGAATGTGTGCTATCTCATGTGCATGTGCAATTATTCAAAATAACTGGAAAATGCTATTGAAATTAATGCAGGATTTTACAATACATGTCCAGATATATATAGTAGATTAGTCAGTATGTGCATGAATAACAAAAATTGCTCCTACATTTAAATTCTAATCTAATCATTTGTCATCTACAAAAAAACACAAATTTCTATATATCAATCCTGCATAAAAGCAAAATCCTATTATATTCTGCCCTTTCCAATAGTAAAATATTTATTAATACAACTAACTGTAAGAGAATTCTTTTACTTTTTATATTATAGGTATCTCATTTTAGATTTAATTTAATAACAAATTTTGAATAAACAAAAAGTGCTGAACTGACTTTCATGAAATCATTATAAAACTTTTATTAAGAAGTTTAATTATGATTTTTTAAAAATATAAACATTAAAATTGGTTTAGAAATTCTATCATTTGAGAGGATTTTAGACAATGTTGCTAATAAATTGAGTTCAGACTAAATTGAAACTTTAGAATTTGGTGTTTTAAAATAAGTTTTAGAAAATAAATGGAGGAATCAAAAAGATTATTTGAAGAGATTAATATGTAAAAGTTATTAATTATTATATTTCAGTAACTTAATATAATTTTATTGTTCTGTTAAAATTTCTTTGGTGTGTTTGTAATATAAATCCTTATTTATTGTTCTTTATGTAACATGATAATTTTTATGGAAAATAATTAATCTTCAAAAGAATTTAATAAACATTTAGAATTCAGATTCCCTTTTTCATTTTGTAAAAATCTAGATATTTAAATATCTAGAATTTTACAAACATTAAACTTATGTTTTTTAATATGCTGTTGGATACAAAGGTTAATCAATATGCTCAATAAAAAATATTGTAGATTTACTGAGAAATGATATTTTAGTAGAATTAGAAGCCATAGTTAAAATTTTTTTATAATAAAATTTAACTTATTATGCTGACAGAAATAGAAAATGTTATACCAAGAAAGCATTGAATGATTCTTGTGAAACACATTTAACATTCATACTGAATACATCAATCAATGAACGCATAGTTATGATAACTCACTTATACAAAATATAGATATAGAATAAATTATATTGAACAGGTGTCATTTTTGTGATGTAGCAAATGGTATAATTTTTTAAGTTGTTTATAAAATATATTTATAATCAAACCAATAATTATAAATTCATACAAACTTAATTTATTGCAAATGTTTTTAATCTTACTGAAAGGTTTTCATTAAGCTACAGTAAAAAAAAAAATATTCCAATCATTGGAACAGTATTTCTCAAACTTTTTGCTCATGCAACCCAATGTATTTGTTTGTGATGGTTTGTTGTTTTCACAACCAAAATGTTTTTAATATAAAATTTTTAAAAACGCTGGTAAATTGGAGTTGCTGTATATTATAAAACAAAATAAAATTATACTTTATTATTGATAATTTCTAAGTGTAAAATGTAACATTGAGTATGTTTCTATTAAGAGCAGTTTGGACCAATTTTGATTTGTAACAAATAACTTATTGAATACTTTAGTTTCATCTTTTGTTATTGAAATTTGACTATTAAAAAATGTAAGACTGACCATTGTAAATAAAACAGAGTTTCAAAATTATTCAGGACTCTTTTACTTTGAAAAATATTACAAATTTTTTATAAACTTAATGAACCATTTTTTAAAATTGACTTTTCAGATTGTAAGATGATGTGAATTACATTTTGTACATACACCAAAAAAAAAATCTTTAAAAATTATTTATTGATTCACTTGTGCAAAAATTCATTCGTTATTTATTTATTTTATTATTTATTGTTATATATGACAATATATCTAAAAGTTTGAATAAACAAGAAAACATTTTCCAAACTATTGCAACTTAAATGGCTTTATGACTACAACCTTACATAAAATATCTATTTTGATGATGATCAAAATAGAAAAGAGAAATTAATTTCATATACTCCCATTCTATAATCTTAATTTTATTACTAAATGACAATAATAATTCAGAAAAACAGTTGTTAAAAATTTTTAGTACTTAAGAGATGCATCTATTGTTCTAGTTCTTAGAGAATATTTCAGTAGCTAAGCACCAACCGAATGTCGAAAATCTATCGGGCTAGTTTAAGGCTAATTACTAAATGAATTACGTACCAATTTGGCTCTAGAGGTAAGCATTAGGTGCCATCTCTTATTAACATTAATAATTATAAATAAAATTAATTAATTTAAATAATTTAGAACCGCTGGGAGAAAAAATCGGCCTGGAGCGGGACTCAAACCCACAACTGCTGCTTACCATGCAGATGCGTTGCCAGTTACGCTATCTGGACCTCCATGTTAATAATGTTAATAAGAGATGGCGCCTAACACTTACCTCTACAGCCAAATTGGTACGTAAATCATTTAGTAATTAGCCTTAAACTAACCTGATAGATTTTTGGCATTCGGTTGGTGTTTAGCTATATTACATATCTAGTTTAGCAATGTTTGTAAATATTTCAGTAATACACGTATAGTATTACAAGTATTTCTGCAGAAAGTATTAATAGTATTATTTTGTGACCCATTAAAATTTTAACATGACCCATAGTTTGAGGAACACATCT